AGGGGAGACCGGGGACAGTAGCAACAAGGGACGGTTGCAACACATCATTTTTCTCCAAACAGAAACAAGCTAGAGTGATGACTCTCACACTGTACATGCTCAGTTAGATGTCCCACCTTGCAAAGAAAAAGTAAGCAGATTCAAAAACTGCTCCAGGATTTATTTGAAAAAAAAAAAAAACAGTTTTTGAGGTACCAAAGTTTTTTTTTGTTGCCCAGCTTTATTTTTGTTCTACTGTTGTCCCTGTTTTTGTGATCCAGCTTAAACTTACTGGTTTAAACAAATGATATGTTGACTTTTAACTAATATAGTTGACATGTATCCAGATCAGCTTATTTAGCTAACACATGAGGTTTTATCATGGCTGACAGGAAGGGGGTCAGTTCCCATACAATAAATCCATATAAAAACAGAGCATAAATGATATGATGATGACATGACATGATATTAAAATGTTGAAATTAAGTTTATACTTAAAATGGTATTGGGTATTCATGACAATTTTATAGTTTAAAACATAAAAGTGTTTAAGATGTATTTTCTGCAATTGTTGTTTTCAACAATGGTTTTAAAATCCCAGTTTCTTTCAATGTAAATGTTGCATAATGTAGGCGTACAGTGACAATGTAGGCAAAACAAAAGTTAATTGCCTCACAAATTGTTCTATTATTCTTGTTTCTAAAAGCCAACTGTATTTTATCTCGATTAGAGTCTTTGACATCTGTATGTAAGGTCTACTCATCAAGGCAAATCTATATTTGTCATTTGATCAAAAAGAATAAATAAATAAATAAATAAATAAATAACACTGTAATATCATTATAACTTAGTTTTTATTAATTTAGCAATAATATAAATATAAAAATAGTAAAACTTTTATTTACAGTGAAATATATTGTATTAATAATATGTTGCAACCACCCCCCAAACAATGCTGCAACTGTCCCCTGTCTCGGGGTCAGTTGCAACATCCGACTTTTCATTTTCAAATGCAAATTGTGAAGAATGTCTTTAATCATCTATAAATGGTTTTGACTATTAACAGACAGATGTAAGTTTGTTGTTTTAAAATTTGGTTTGTCTAATTCAAACCATCTCTGAGTAACAGAGTCACATGCAAAAAGTGTTGCAACTGTCCCCGGCCTCCCCTACTGTTTTCCTTGAGGTGAGGCAGCGACGGTGACTTAACAAACTCTCTGGAAGCCTCAGAGGCCCGATTGATCGTTTCATTATTTAATGGTTCCGTCCTGACAGCACAGAGCTCACAGAGAAGCAGAATGAGACGATGAGTGACAGGTGAAGCTAGAAAGTCTTAGCTGCCAGCTTTCCTTCAGCCCCATTAGCTCCTCCATTTGCCCGACGGCCTGCTGGATTTAGGGCTGATAGAGTTATAAATCTGCCATCTGCGATGTTTGTTAAATCACAACATTCTTTTTCTGTTGTTTACCTTCTAAACATGTCTGGTTTGTTAATTATTTGGAGGCCAGAGCAATAAAAAGTCTCAAAAAATGATTCAGTAACTTCATTAAATAACCCCATCAGCCTTAGCAATGCAATGAATCGAGTTAATTTCAGTTCCAGTTATCTACGAAGGCACTTAAAAAAACTAATTTATGAGATCTGGCTCCTTTTCTTCCCATCACTTGCAGATGAGTCACAAACTTTTCCACTGAGGTCACTGCTGATGTTAATAACTGCCTAATCTCCAGCAGCAGAGGCTCTCGTCACGGCTTTCAGGAAATAGATTAATACAAGCATCCCAATTACAGTTTATTGACTTTACATTTGTGCCCTAGATATGAGGACACTGGGGTCAAGCGACCTATAACAGAAGACAATAAGAGACCATTAATCAGTCGGTTGCATATAAACATTTCCTCTTCTCTGTCCTTGAAGATTAAAAATGGTGTGGTTTTTTTTTTTTTTGAGCAAAGGGCATCAATCAAACTGCAAATATTATCATGCTGGTTTAACTTAAAACAATAAAAGCCTCCAATCATCCTGCAGTGTTTAATGTGTTGCTTTTGTTAGAATTAACTCCTAATGATGCAGAGATGTTTCAGATTTCCTAAAGTAGAGCTTCTCAAACTGGGGTCTGTGAGCTGCAGCTCAGGGGTCCCCAAAATAAATTACAATAAATTAATTATTTCATTTTTAAAAGTGCAAACATACTTGACCCTAAAAGGAAAAATAAGTATTTCCATGCATGAAGTGTTAAAATGGCAGTAAATTATTTTTCAAATGCATGAGGTTTTTGAGGGAGTTCCCTGTAAGTGGTCCCCAGACCCAAAAAGTCTTGTCTTAAACAACTCTTTCTCATAAAGCACCAGCTGAGAGATAGACGTTTAGGAAGGTTGTGGCGTTGTTTTCATTTGTTCATTTTTTTTTTCTGCCTAAATCCCTTTGTGAGTCTTTGATTTCATGTTCCAATGATTAAACAGTTCTTGGCAAAAAAGACAGAAAAAAAAAGCATCTTTGGAAAAATAATAATCCAATGTACAGTTAAGGCTGAAGGTAGTCCAACAAAAACCTTCCCCCTCTCCTTCTCTCTGGCTGGACAGTATACTGTTGGTATCATCATGTTTTAATGCTCCACCAGAGGGACCTAAAAGAAAAAAAAATTGAGCAACTGAGCAATAAATCTTTGATAGAGCAAAGATTTGGCAGTCAGTGCTTTTTAGGACTCTTTATAAGCCATATCAGTGTTTTTACAACAGCTTAAAGGTGTTTTAACCTCAGCAGAATCGTTTTACCACCATGTCTATTAAAAGACTTCCCAAATGAAGTCGGTTATTTTTGCTGCGTTTGAATTATTCAGACAGACGTCTGTCTTGTAGCAGAATTTTTTTCTTTTTGCTTCTGGCGATTTGAGTTAGAAAAAGCTTTTAAAATCTCAAAACCCACTTCTTTCAGAGAGTCATCACGTCTGAACCTTTGGTGGAAGAGTGATGGAAATGGACTAATGGAAAAAATGATTCAGGCTTTCATGGATCAAAGGATAATTTATTGTTAGTTTTGCAGGTCAGTGAGAGACTGACCTTAATGAAAAGAACTTATTGACTTTCATTTAGCAGGGAAGTGCTGTCTCCCATCTGAGTGCAGATTTTTACTGTGAAGTCTCAGGATTTGGAGCTGATCACCTTAGAGTCTGGTTTAACATCAAGGATCCTGGTTTCCGATTAGCTTTTAGCTTTAGCTGATTTTAGCTTTTAGGTACAGTTTCGCTAATTTCACCTTTTACTAATAGTTTTGCTTGCAGATACACTTTTGGCTAAAGCTCTGCTAATTACTGATCTGCAAGTGACAGCTGATAAATAAAAAAAAAAAACATAAAGGCCATACAAGAGATTGGGCAACCGTGTGTCACCAGAACAGCTCAAGTCTTCTGGTTCTGCAGATTCCATGTGAGGTGAAACCTCAAAACATTCAATGTTTTGTTGTGGTAAAGAAATATGTGAATTATATCAGTTCAGAATCATCAGATATGTTCAGCTCAGTTAAGATCGGATGATTCTGAAGCCCACAGCACATGATTCACAGCACATTCATCAAATTATTCCRTGTTTGCAGTCATGGACACCCTGAAGCTTTGACACAAAAAAGACAATTTCTTGCTATCTTTTTAAAATCCATCATATAAAGGTTACTATTTAGGACAACTTTGTATTGATTTGAAACATTTTTCTCTCAGAGAGGAGAAACAACAGCAACCGACCTCCTCACACTGTCAAAGTTAAAAACACATTTTTTGTAATTCACACATAACTTTTTATGTGTATTTATAGGTAACTTTATTTTTGTTTTAGGTATTTTTGAATTGACATTATACCTTCTTATAATGGCTAAATGTGCTCACAGTTTAATATAAAGCCACTAGAGGACAGTCAAAACCTGCAGATGTGACTGTTGTAGTGTCCCAAGGTGGGGGGTTTCTCGGGTTTGTCTCAGGAATGCCACATATGTGTGTCTCATCAGCCACTCAGCTTCCTAGTTTCACACACATCACCATTTTAGGACAAAAGTCTGAGGGGCACCGTGATTTATGTACATCTGTTGCTTAAAGACCTCTGTACACCCCCACCTCGGGGCCTTTCTTTCTCCGACTTTCGTACTGGAGAAATCAATTGGCTGAAGGCCACAATTTGATCTTAGGCTGTATTTTTGATCTGCAGTAATAAAGTTGCTTGCTGTTCAAACCAGCCTGAATCCAGAGTCATTCTTTATCCGAGATCAACGGCAGTTCACTTTTGGACCAGAAGAAGTGAGTTTTCACCTCACTGTAAACCAAGTTAGATCTCCTTCCTGAGCCAGTATGGTTTAACATTCCCATTATTTATGAATGACAAAAAGTKTGAACCGAATAAGAACTGGACCACGATTGATCAGGAGGGTAAACTCACATTTAAACTTACAGCAACTTGTCTATTCATGGATAACACAAATGTAATGCGTCTATAAACCTAGTGAACAATGTGTTCACTAAAAACACCCCATAGGAGCTCACTCATATTCTGGGAAACTTTGTTGAGCGATGTTTATTACTGAGATAAGAATCGAAGTGGAAGATTACTTCCAAACTCATTGATGATGAAATCAACTGGTTTAAACTTTTTGGTGCAACAGGCTGACACACAGCTCAATGTATTTGTGTATATCTTTGTACAGTTGCATCAACAGGACATGAAACACAGAGGAAACCATTTCATTTCTCCTTCTTGTACAAATAGACTCTCACACCTCCGTCTCTACTTTCGGATTGCCAAACACTGATCTTCACGCCTCTCTCTCTACCACCCACACTGGGATAAGTCATCACCACCCCAGCTCACCAAGCCTGGTATTATCTGAACAGTGTGATTGCTACAGAGGTCTTATTCTTGATGGTTTTATTCTATCAGTACTAAGCCCCTGTACTAAAGGTCCCCCCCACCTACAACCGAGTGTTTTCATCAGCCCCTGTGAAGGAGAAACTGGTGAGACAGAAAAACTGTACACAGCGGTCACAATAAACTTCTTTTCTTTTTATTCAGTTCTCTTGTTTGGAAATTGCAGGGTCAATATTTTCACATTACTTGACATGATGCACAAAATGTACTCTACCTGTTTACAGGAATACACTGAATAGAACACAAGGTTACACAATGGATACACGACTGACATTTTGCTCATTGCACTTACAACAGTGAATGACATTTTCCAGATTTTCAGTTTTCTGTTATCGCCCTCCCTTCTGCTCACAGTTATCACCTCACAGATCATACCCATCAAACGGAAGACCYCTTATTGGAGGAATTCTGTTTGTTTTTTAAGTTAGAAACACAACATGTATAGAAACTCTACACACTGAATGTTTCAGAGTACGAGTTTTGTTCCACTGTTGTAAAGGATCAAAACAAGTCAGCCACATAAACTATGCTTATGCAATAATATTAATAATCCTCATCATTATTAGTTTCATCATCATCATCATCATTGTGGTAATAATAAATATTTTATACACAAATGTTGGCAGCAAATACGGCATGGGGATGCACATGACAGCCGTACTCAAAACTCAAAAGCTGTACAGAGAGATGACGTCGTATTTACAGTATGAATTAAAATAATGTGTCTGTCTGCCTTCCCGTTCGTCTGCATGGCTGCACTGAAGGCTGTTTTTGGTCTCATGCACCTCATATTGACTTCACTGCACTGTTGTTCGGACGCACAACTCACGCCGCTCGCTTACGAAAACCTCTGTTCCCACGCTTTGTTGAGCGGCGAGTGCCACCAGTCAGGCTTTGTGCTTTCGAAAAGTGACATGCCCTGATTTGTGAATGACTGGTCCTTAACTCACTGGTACTCGCTTCGTTGGCCGGTGACGGTCAAGGTTTGTTAGGCAAACCTTCGTGGTTAAAAAAATAAATAAATAAATCACGACAAAAATTTTTTTGAAGAACAAAAAAACTTCTAATACAACTCCCGAGAATGAAGGATCTAATCATGCACCTTTCAAATGGCTTGGCTGCTGAGTGGGTTAGTCGATGAAATATCCAATATAAACATTCCATTCAGCCCACAGGTTATACCGACACCCAATATGTACATTGACACGTAATTAATGAAGAAGTGCTGACCATCTGCATTACAGGTTTACAGCCGCACAGACAGTCACTGCAAGCCAAACACTGGGGTCAGCCAAAATGCACAACAACTCAATGAGGGCTTACAAACAGCCAGACAAAGCCAAGCAAACCCATGCTTCGAAGCAACATGATGGTGGACATTCAAAACCGACACAGTTTACCCTTTGGCAACAGGATCCCCCCCACTGCCCCATCCAAGTGTGGGGACCGAGGGGTCAAAACATGCCACAAAAATAAAAACAATATTCAGTATTCAAATTCATACAGACAAGTTTCTAAGTAAAAACATGTTCAGTTCCTTTTTTTTCTTTTTTTAAAGGATTTAATTCATAATTGTGTTGTTGTTCTTGTGATGATAATAAACTGATGCAGGCTAAATCGCGTCCAGGTTCAAAATGAGTCATTGCATAGAACATTTGACTTGATAATTGCTTTCGCCCTCTCCTGTATCTTGATGCATGCTTGTGTGTGAGCGTTTTGGTGTGTAGTCTGCACAAATTGAGGCAGTGGGCCCAGCTTGTTAGTGTGTTGGTAACCTCATTAATCAGCAGGAGGTTAACAAGTCTATTTGATGAGAACTTAATTAACCTTGGCTCTGAAGTGGAATGTGGATGCAGAGTGTAACGTGTACAGTGTGTGTATTTGTAAGAGATCAATGTATATATATATATATATATATATATATGTATATATATATATATAATTTTTTGACGTGTGTGCGAGTGTGGGTGTACCTGTCTGCATGCTGAACATATCATGCATGTGATACTGTAGCTGTAAACCCTCTGACAGATTTTATTACTGCTACTTGTGACAGACGTGTTTGATATTTCCCATCACAAGTTGAGACGACATTTACACCATTGTGCTATATACCATTTGCTGCATGCTATTGCTTTTAAAAAAATCGATAAGCAAAAAAATATCTGATGGGACAAAACAGAGATTCGGACAAATATAAAGTGAAAATACAAAGTTTTACAAACGTAAAACAAATAACGACGTAAAAAGAAACTCGCTGAAATGTGACTCTTTAAATACACAAATGACCAAATTTACATATTAGATCTCTGATTTGTTGTATGTACATACAATATCATACAGTGTAAAAAGAAACTCAGGATGATACGGACGCTTTAAAACATGAGGTATACGAGAACAAACATCGCAAATAAGGCTCTTGCATTCATTATTAGGCATAAAAACAAACAACAAAATGGAACAAAAATCAGTTAAAATATGAGAAAATCAATAAAAAGGATAGAGTTGTAAAAGTTTCTGGAGATGAGTATAATGATGGCTTTGCAATGGCAAAAAATAAATAAATAATAAAAATAAATAAAAAAAGAGCCGTGGCCACTCTTTCTATTTGGTCCTCTCGTCTGTGTGAATCTCACACTTATCGGCACGCTGGTAGTAATTCCCTTCCAAAGAAAATAACCTACAACTAATGAGCAGCGGCTTCTTAAAACTGATGAAAAGAAAGGTATGATATGGGCTTTTTTTCTGTTTTTCAATTGTGCGTGCATTCTCGTGTCCACATTAACACAATGCATTCTGTAGACACTGAAACGAAAAAGACAACAAACAAAAACACATTCAAAGATAGGGTTGATTTCCCTCTACTGGAATGTACTGTGGAGATCACAGAAACCAAGCAGTCAAGGATTTTAATAGAATCTCCAGGTTGGTTGTTGTTGCTGTTATAATCTTTGTCTGTTCCAGTTGTGGTTTTATTTTATAAGATCAGTTGCTTTATTATAAGGAAAACCTATAAAATCCAGCGTGTTCTTCTTGTTTTTTTGTTTGTTTGTTTGTTTTTTTCTGATGAAAATTCTCTGAGGACATCAATGTAGAATCAAGAAGCCTTGGGAGACATGTACTCCTCAGACACAAGAGCGGTTGCAGAAGCGTCTCTGTAGAGGGCGCTGCGAGGCTTTCTTTGTCGAGTGGTCGAGCACGATCAAACACACTGTGTTTTGCCCATCATATCCAGCTTCCTCTTTTAGCAGGGTGTTGGAACTGTTTCCCAGAGCAGAGGAAGAAAGAAAGAAAGCTGAGCACTCCTTTCCTTTTCCACTTCACTGCATTCTTAATGTTGACCTGATTAAAAAACAGTAAAGAGGTGCGTGGTTAGTGAAAATGAGATAACTGGAAATGATAAATTCACCAGGCAGACAAACTTATTGCACCCTTTTATTGCAAAGTAAAATAAACTGAAATAACCAAGCTTGTTCTTATTTTAAAGATCTTACTGCAAACATGTCAAGTTGTAGGAATTGTCCATAAATTACATGGATTTTCCCACATTTTGCAGGTATAAGAATGTGTAGAGAAATCTCACGTATTTATTAAAAAACTCAGCTTTAAATTTATTTCACAACTTAGAGCCTGTAGGATGTAAAAAAATTTGTGCAATTAAATAACCATCTTCTAATCCGCTCTGCTTTTAGAAATAAGTTGACCACCCCTCCACATCCTCCCTTCCCTGCTCCTCTGCACTGCAGATGCTGTTATCTCTGCTCCATGCTCTGACAGTCCGCTTGTCCTCGTATTGCATGAGTACTATGGATTTTTTGTGAGAAATGACAGATTTCTGAGGGTCAAGATACAGGTAAACATCCAAAGGGTTGACCTGTATGTTATTCTTTCCTCAAAGCTATGCTTTCCAGACTATAGGTTTATTTGTGGTTCCTAGAGTTTCTAAAAATAGAATGGGGGGGCAGAGTCTTCAGTTCCGATTTCTGTCTGTGAGGCTGACACCTGGTCTACTTTTGAGACGACGTTTAAACCTTTCTTTCTTGATAAATCCTATAGTTAGGCTTGCCTGGGTTTCCTGAGGTATCCCTTAGTTTATGCTGGAGGACAAACTGATCCCTTTTCATCACTCTGCTGATGTCCTATTTAACTTCATAAGCATTTTCTGACCACTGCTACTGGTTATTAAAAGCAGATAAAACAATAAAAATCAAATATTCACCAAATTACTCTTGACTTGATGTATTTCACTGTGTTTGTGTGAGAGAAGAAAAATAAAGTCCATTGTATACTGCTTTGTCAGCACTTCTGTAGTTCTGCTCCATGGAGCAGAAACGGTTCATTCTACCGTGAATAAATGATGCCTATTATGTGTCATGGTTCTGAGTGCCTACAGGTGCTTTGTTTTATCTCTGTGTGCCTTAGCATGTGTGACATTAAAGTGAGCCCTGGTTAGGCGTCTCAGGCTGATTCAAGCACAGTAGTCTTGGCCCAGATTATTGCGGGTTTGCTGACTCCCACTTTTTTAAGGCTTTGGCCTCTCACCTCTGCAGTGCAAAATTCAAGCGGGCCCTGCCTTTCACTGCACAGTCTGAGAAAAAACAATCTAATAATAAGACTCATAAACACACAGAACCAGGGTCAGCAAAAATATAACTAGACTTAGCTAACTAGCAGCACCTGCGTACAAACATGCCCTCAGAGCGTTTTTCTTTTCTTTTTTTTTTTTTACAAACTTACCAATGATCTAATGAGGCCTTCAATGTTTCTGCCATTATAATTCTGAGGCTGTAGCTCTTTCAAAGCATCCACTTACTTTCAGGCCTCTTCAGTCCTCTGCTCATGTCTTGAAACAGCGTGCTGACAAAGCGATCCCCCTTATTTAATTCCCTTCAATCGTGAGCCCATGTCTGGGGAATTCATTGCTGACAAGGCATCCTTTGATTCCAGGTCTGCTCGGTAATTTGGGGTAAGGGAAAGGTACAGAGAGTCGCAGCATTTAATGAGTCATCACTTAACTTGAACCTCTCATTATGCAGACATGACTATGCTAATTTATGGAAATGCTAAGTTTAATAGAACATTAATCTATTAATTTCAATGTGAAGAGACTTAATGGTTTTTTTATTTTTCCGTAAGTCTTGATGCACAAAATAAACCATTTAACATTAAAAATAATGGAATAACATTGAAAGTGCCAATTATTTTGTTTCTCAAGCTACTGTTAATGATTACATGACGTCAAATCATGAAAATAAATACATATTTGAAAAGTTCATTGTCAAAGCACAAGTTCCAACTGCTTAATTGCATGAGTACGAAATATTCTTTTCACTCTCAAAAAAATTATTGAAAACATAAAAAAGAAAAGTTTTCATACTGACTGATGCACTCGGGGTCTCTCCTGTTTTCTCTGTAAAGTGAAATGAATTTCATGTGGTTTCATAGGTTTTCCGGTACAAAGCTACTGATCCACCTCGTTTTTATTTCTGCACACCCTGATAGAAAAAAACAAAACAAAAACAAAAACAACTGATTAAAAAAATCAAAGCAATAATCACTTCCTGAAAATGAGTCATTTCAAATTGTTTCTGCCACCTGTTCCATTCCCAGAAGCAATTTAACTCAAAAATTAACAAAAACAAATAGATTTGTTTTTTTAGGCATGAATGYCTCCCCACCAGAACATATGTGTGAGAAGAACATAAAAACTGCAGATTACTTACCGTCCTCGCTTCAGTTCACCAAAACGAAGTGAACTTTTTTCCCAGACCAGACAAAGCTGTTAGAATGATTAAAAAGAAGGTAAATGTAATAAAATTTGTGCCATATGCTTTTTAATTGGAYAATTTTAATAAGAGCGGTGTGATAGCTAAAAGACATGACTGTACCATCTCCCAGTTTTCCTGCCTGCTCTGCGGCCCCTCCCTGCAGGATTTTGGTGAGAACGTTGTCCCCTTCAGCTGGTGCCTGGCCTGCTGCAGCGCTTCCTATTCCAACTGGTTTGCTCCCGATTCCAACAGGAGCAGCTTTGGAACCTGCACAAACACAAACCCACCACTAATTAAACATTTTCCGACCATGGTACGTGGTTTGTAATATGAAGAGAAGTGACACTGACCTATGCCTGTAAGAGGAGGTGTAGCTATTTTGGTGGGCTGGGGGGCTGTTGGGACTCCAGCTGGAGGTTTCATTCCTGTGGCAGCTGCTGCAGGAGTGGCATCCATTTTTGGCTGTAGAAAATTATGTTGAGATAATAACCGATATTGGCTTTTTTCACTTTGGAAAGATTTACATTAGTTTAAGTATCATTGTCAACAATTTTCTTGTTGTTAAAAGACAATTAACAGGGAATTTACTAYTATGATAATAACTCTGGAACCATTTCACAGTGGTCAAATTAGGGCAGAATTCATTCCAGCATTACTGTTTTTCTATCCTCCTCACTTACTGTATGTTTGTGTGTGACTTCACACAGATTGCTAATTTAATCAGGTACACTCCATGGATCAAAAGTAATGAAGAGTATTGATCTTTTGTGTCTTGTACCACAAAGATTTGTAGGTTCTAACAGGACAGAGCATTCGTATTTAAAAGCTTGTTTTAATGGGCATCATCACGGCCCACAACTGAATCATTTCTGCAGAACAGTATGACACAAAAAATACTAGAATGAAAAGGCAGTAAAGTAAAACCAGGTCCGCTTACCGCTGTGGCCTGCTGGCCCGCTGCAGACCCCACTCCTGGCTGCCGTCCCTGTGATGGAGCTTGTCCAGGTTTCGCCTGCTGCTGTTGCTGTGTTGGCCCAGTTCCAGCTGTAGTCATCCCTGTTGAGGGATGACTACTCTGAAGGGTCTGGCTGTGCTGTGGAAGCTGCTGCTGCTGCTGCTGCTGCTGCTGCTGTTGTTGTGGCACACTCTGCTGATGCTGCTGCTGCTGCTGAGGCTGTTGGCTGGCATCAAGTGGTTCAGAGCCTGGATGTCTTCCTGACTGCCCCTGACCACCTGATCTCTGCTGCCCAGCATGGCCCTGAGGAGCCTGCTGGCTCTGAGGTTTAGAAGGATCTTGTCTCCTGGTGGCTGTGCGTTCTCCTTGTGGTCTCTGACTCCTTCCAGCAGTGCCATGGTGATGACCAGAGGGCGAGTCTCGAGAGAAGTCTCCTGAATTTCTTGGGCTTCCGTGAGCAGAACGGGAATCTGTGCCACTCCTTCTTTGGACGGATGAGGTGGTCCGCGCATCGGGGCGGCCTGTTGGATCCTTGGGGTGCGTCCTGGACGAGCGTGAAGACCTGGGGTCTTCTGAAGAGTGGCGAGAAGAGCTGTGCCTCCCAGAGCTGCCTCCGTGGTGACGGTGTTCTCGTGGCGTGGCGGAGGGGTGGCGCTGGTTGTACTCATCCTGTGGACCGTATTCCTCTGGAGGTTCATCATAGTCATGATAGGAGTGTTTACTACGTCTGCCAGTGGAGGAGTGACCCCCACTTCCATGATGTCGTGAGCGATCAGAGCGGGCCTCCCGGGGTTTTTCAAACCAATCAGTCTCTTCTTGGCTTAAATGATATGCTTTTTGAGAAACCAATAAACAAATTGTCAGTCAGCTGTTGTTTGATGTGGAGTAGCATGCAGAATGACACACTAGGAGGAAAACATGCTCCACATTCAAGAGCCATGCAGATTTAAAAGAAATCAAAAAAAATTTAAAAAGCGGGGTTCAAGCATTGCTTCACATGTAAAAATCATGCATGCATGCAAAACAAAGGCATAAAATATTTTTGGCTTCATATATGAGGGGAATATTGAACAAAAGAAAATGTCAAAAAAACATGAAGCTTTTGTCCACATTTGGCATGCAGTCTTTTCTTCACTTAAAGTGTGAAAAACAAAATAAAGCACAGAAAATTTAGCACCAGTTACCTTCACTGTCAGAAACAGCACAGTGCATGTCATCTACAAGATAAGGATCGTCTGGTTTATAGACATGACTTCTAGGAAGGTCCTTCTTGTGGTGGTCCTGCACATCTGGCAGTGAATGGCTGGAGCCATACTGGTTTCTCACATCATGGGCCTCTGGTATGCCTGTGCCTCTTCCCATGCCTACAAGCTTTCCAACAGGACTTTGTGGACTCTCCTCTTCTGAATTCTGATTTCGCATGGGCGGCCTACCACTGCGGCTGGTTTTATGAGACCGCTCCATAGCATCCCTTTCATAGGATTTACTGCGATGGCCCGTGGCATCTCTGGATGATATCTTGTCCATTCCATACCCGGTGGACCTGGACCTACCAGAGCCATACATGCGGTCCTCTTCCTCAAGACCTTCATGACTGGTGCCGTAATATTTCTGCTGATCGTATTTTTTCATGCCATAGGTGACATCATCCTGAAGCTTCTTGGATCTCGACACAACTGGACACGTACCTCCAGCTGACGTTGTCAGCGTGTAAGAAGCAAGGTCAGACTCCACATCTCGAGCTTCCTCGATGGGCGAGAATTTAGAAATTTTCTGCTCCATTCCCTGCTTCCGATGTTTACTGCGTTTAGAGGAAACTACAGCAGGAGCAAGATTTTTGGATGTAACTTTGTGGCTACCAGAGCGTGACGTGTGTTTGTAATCGTCGTAGTAATAAGGTGTGCCTCCACTCACTGTGGTGCTGGTGCGACTGTCCACTGTGCTCTGGTAGCCGGTTGACCCTGTAGGTCTACCGTAGGCATCAACAGGTTCATCATAGGCAGGGCCTCTTGCAGGGCCATTCTCACTGCGATACGGCCCTCCAACAGGATGACCATGAGCATCGGTCGGTTGACCTGTGTTGTCTTTTGTCAACTCACTGATGTCATCAATCATCACATAGTTCCTTGGAATGTTCTGCTCCAGGTTGGCAGTATAAAGACCATCTGAACCATATGCAGCAGAGGGGCTGTCTACTGAGTGAGTAAGGCCTGGCTCTGGAGCACGGTATTGCCCGTATGCACTGCTATAAACTGAACCAAAGCTGGCATCTGGAGCTGATGTAGCCACTGACACCGCTGGGTTGCTAATGACCTCATAATTGGTGGGGAGTTTTTGTTCAAGGTCTGCCAAAGATGTTTGCCTTGGTCTTTGATGAACTGTAAGGATCTCCGCCTGGGGCTGATAGGTGAGACCAGGTTGGTAGGAACTATGGCTGGGGTAAGGAAGGCTCTGTCCTGGCATAGGCTGAGCGGGTGAGTGGAAGCCCTGGTGACCATGCTGCTGCATAGAAAAGTCTGTTTGATAGGAGGACTGGCTGTACGTCCGGGAAGAATAGGTTCCCTGGTTCTGGTACCCAGGGCCGGTAGGAGGATGGGGCTGGAAGGTTCCGGGCTGGGGGGCAGAGGATGGATACTGAGGAGGCTGGAAACCTATTTGTGGATAAGCAGTGCCAGGCTGTTGTGTTGATGGTTGACCTTGAGGATATGGATATGGCATATAGGACGACGTCGAGGGATACTGAGAGGTGACATTGAGGTCATTAGTAAACTGACTCAGTGGTGCAGTGCTAGGCCTTGTCAGTAAACCATTAGCATCATAAGTTCCTGTTGCAGCTGCCATTCTGAGGTTGTTGAGCTCACTGTCTGACATGTAGTCTCGAGCATCCCCCATACAACGCAGGTAAGCCAACTCTCTCCTTTCCCTCTCCTTTACCATGGTCTCTTTTCGCTGAGTGATGCCTAGCTCCAAATAGCGCAGTTTGGCATCAATCTCTTTTTCCTCCTCTTCCAGTTCAGCCTGCTGCTTACGCAGTTTTGACGACTCTTGCTCCACAGCTTTCAGTTCGCTCAACAGACCAGCCTTGGTAACTACTTGGGTGGGTCTTGGAAGGACCCTCTGCGACATGCCGGAAGAACTGTACATTTGTGCCGGAGAAACAATAGGGAGCGGAGCCTCCTCTGGTGGTGGGCTGGGGAGAGTCCTCTTTACTTTCCTCATCAGAGAGTTCTGTTGCTGCTGCAGGGAGGCCATCTGCTATGAGAGGCAGAGACACATCAGTAAACACTGAGCTATAAACAGAATCTGTTTATGTAAATTAAACTCATTATTCTATACTAGGTATTCGAAGAAGATCAGTACATTTCTTCTCAACACTGAAATGAAGAAGCAGTTTGCATAACATTTTTAAAACACCTGATATTTATAAAAAAATATATCAGTAATGCAACTATAATTGTTTCTTTCAGCTTATTACACTATAAATTTTCCAATGAAGGCAAAGTTGCTATGTCTATGTCTAATTCTCTATGCTATGCAGTGGTGGACAGTAACAAAGTACTTTTACTTTATTACTGTAATTAAGTACATTTTTTGAGTATCTTTACTTTACTTGAGTAGTTATTTATTTGGGAACTTTTTACTTTTACTCCACTACATTTCAAAGACAAATATTGTACTTTTTACTCCACTACATTTCTAGGAAGCTTGTAGTTACTCGTTCCTTTTAGATCAGCATATTATAATCCGCTGTAAAAAAAAAAAAAGAAAAGAAAAAAAACTGTTGTTCCGGTTTTTCTTTTCGTGAAATGCAATTGGCCACAAGCTATGTTCGTCACAAAGGTAATCAATCACATGCGTAGCTTATAGCCTACGTCACACTCGTTAACTCTCGGTAGCGGAGCGCGCGCTCCCATCACTTTACTTTCATTTCAAGCAGAACCAGACAAAAGAAGAAGATGCAGTGGAGACCACTGAGGAAACGCAAGGAGAGAAACCAGCACACCCATGGCCACATCTCAGTTCAATGTTCGAGGTTTTAGGACTTAAAAATAATACGTATCAGTTCAAATGTCTTCTCTGTTTACCACGGGTAAAGTACCTTTCAGCATTCCATAACTCACCATCTAACCTGAGAAAGCACATTGAGGTAAGTCAGCAAACATTTTTCTCACTAGTTTAAACGCTTTAAATGAAGTTGACTTTGGTTAGGGTAGTTGTGGTTAAATGCTGTGAGAGATGATTGAAAAATAGTCGACCATTGTGTGCTAACTGCTAGCTTAGAGTCCCGTGCGGGTGCCCCTTGGGGCTCTGCGCTCGGGATTCCTCTCAGGCCCTTGGACTCTGGTCTTCCCTATGTCTGCCTCGTGTCTTGGGGGTTGGGTCTCGGTCCTCCACAGTCATAATTAAATATTCCATTGGAGAAATCTTGTATATACACGCATGTTCACAACTGCTCACAGACAGGTGTTCTGATCCGGGGGTTCTGACTGTTCACTGAGTGTGTGTATATGTCTGTGTGTATATACTGACAATATTTATGAATGTAGGCATGTATGTATGTATATCTTTATATATGTATGGGTATGTGTATATTTTTATATATGCCCTCCATGTATTTATCCATTTATTTTTCAGGTGAGCAGAAGATGTTGGGTGTGTGGTCCTGTGTTTTCTTGGTGTATATTTAATATACTTCTAATCTCTATTTCAGTCTTTCTATCTTTCTAATTACTTCTCTCTCTGTTTTTCTCTCCGTCTCTATTTTCTCTTCACTTAAAAAAAGTCACTGATGATGAAGAAATAAATAAAATAAATAAACTAATATTTAGTTTCGTTTTCTACTGAAGTGACAAAAAAAAGAAAAGTAAAAAAGAGAATGTAATTTGTACTTTTACTTTGTACTTAAGTACTTTAAAATGCATGTACTTCTGAATACTTAAGTATTTTCAAAAGTAAGTACTTCAGTACTTTTACTTGAGTAGATTTTTGACTGAGTAACTTTTACTTGTAGTGGAGTAGATTTGACCATGAGTATCAATACTTTTACTCAAGTACTAGAGTTGAGTACTTTGTCCACCACTGATGCTATGTTATGCCATAACACCAAACTGAGAATTGTTAAGCTGCTGAAATCAATATACGGAATAATCCATCCTCACTTTGAGGTGAAGATTAATTTGTGTTAATTATTATAGAAGCAGTATTTACAACAATGATGAGTTTTACTTTAGCAAAGAATGTTCTTACCAGCCAGGACAAATTAAATTTGTGCTTTTTTAAACTCATTTTTACTTTGAGAACAGGTAAAACTCTGCATCAAGATTTTTGCTAAAATATGTCTAAATCGTTTTATATATGCTTTAAAAGCCTCAATTATTGAAAAATCCCTTTTACTTCATTCCTATTCTCAGTTTCCCTTTCATTCTTTTTATGAAATCTTCTCTGTATTTTACATAACCCATTATAAATGGCATGCAGGCAAGAATAATCAAATACTGTATAAGACATTTATACTAATTTATTACTCACAAAATAGCTATGTTGAGCAGATCCATGGAGAAGWATCCACAAGAGAGACTTGCACTAAACACTAACCCTGCAGATTTAAAACGTAAGGAACACATCTCTGACTAATTTTGGTCTAAGTGCGCAGCAGAGCTAATTTACTTTGCCCAGATGCTAACAATCATGGAGAAAGCAAAGCAGAACCAGGACTCCTTTAAATCGTGTGTCACCCCCGCTGGCAACACTTAAGGGGTTTTCCTCATTTAAAAGGCGAGCGGGGAGTGGCAAGATAGGAGGAAAAAAAGAAGGGAGGAGATACAACAGAGAGGCTTCTCTGACATTGCCATATGCTCACTTCCTCTTCAGTGCCAGATCATGTATGATTATCTACACTCTTAAGAAGCAACCAGGTTTTTGCTCTGTTTTGTTTCAATTTTGTTAATTTTGTAAATGTCTGAAAGTATTTTGGTATTATTATCACTGAAAAAATATACTTTGATGAAACATCTTAACTTTGATTTGACCTTCAATTGCTACTGCTCTTCAAGATCTTTTCATTTTAGCTTAGAAACAAGTTTTTCGCATGAATGTATAATAAAACATTCACATTTATAAAATTCTGTTCAAAGAAAAGATTGTGATTACATACCTGGCTGCTGGACACAACTTGATGATGATATGGAGAAAACCTGTTCTTGCCAGGGTCCTCTGATGTTGGGCTGAGTGGCTTAGGGTCCGACATTGAACGCTGCACATTTTTTATGGGTCTTGGCAGCGACTGGTGGCGTTGAGGAGATTCAGCAGTGAAGGCTTTCTGCTGTGGTGTAACGTGGGCCTTGTTCAGCTTCTCCTGCGAGGCAAATGTTGTGGCCAACATGCKATGAGGAGACAGTGGAGATACTGGGGAGTATAATACTTGGGGAGATTTGGGGGGTTGTCGAGATGAAGACTCATTTTGTTGATGATGATAGCCAATTTCCAGTGGGTCTGGTTTCCTCCTTTCAAACTTAGCAACACCTTGGAGTCTAGGAGAGGTTGGGTCAGATGTATTTGCTCCTACTATATGCAGACTTGTTGAGTATGGACTAATAGTTGTTGGGACACTCAGCTGAGGGGTGACTACTCCCTGAGAATGTGATTCTGGTTCAGTTTGGCAGGCTAGACTCTCTCCTTTGTGAGTCCTTTCAGGAGCTGCTATGTAATGTAATAAGTCAACTTTTGAGGTCTCTGCCATAGTAATGTGAATTGCGGGTGAAACCCTGCCTAGTTGGTCTGGCTCTGTTTGGCATGACGAATCATTAGTGGTCTGAATAGCTATGCTTGCAGAAGCCACTTTAGATGATCCTTCAGACTTTGCCTCGCCACTGGACTCTGAATGCTTTGATGCACGAGATCGCCTGCGCCTTACTGGCTGCTGGTCCCATTCTGCCTGGTCCTCCTCATCAGTCTGCACACAGGAGTCTGCGATGTGTCTTGTTCTCCTTCGCCTATTCAAGTACCTCTCATCACCATCCTCATCGTCTGTTTGCACACAGCTGTCTGTGATTCTTTTCACAGATTCTTCCTCAGAGCCGTCCCTCAGCCGAGGCATGGAATTCTGCTTTTTCATAATCTTAGGATCCATCTGCTTGTCACTGCTTTTCAAAGACATTTCAGAGGCGGAGCTTTGAATAGGTCGAGCAGACATCACTGCTTGCACCACTTGCCCATCCTGCCAGAACTGAACACTTTGTCCATCTTTTTGAATTACTCTGCCACTCTGGTCACATATTATAAACCCTTGAGGAACCCCTCCTCCAACAACTACCCCTTGGATGGCACCCTGAGCTGATGTTGCCGCTGCAGCAGCTGCAGCTGAGGCGGCAGCTGCCTCAGCAGCYGCAGCTGCTGCTGCTGCCTCCACTGCAGCTGTCTTTTGCCTTTTCTGCTCCTCCAACTGCTGCTGAAGCTGCTGTTGTAGAGTCTGAATCTGCTCAAGTTGCATTCTTTGCTGGGCCAATTGTTCTCTCTGCATTATAAGCTGCGTCTCACGCTCTGCTTGTTGTTGTTGCAGGACCTGCTGTTTGATTGTATGCAGTTCTTGAAGTTCCCGCTGAACAAGTAGTTGCTCTTTTTCTCGGTGACGCTGAAGCTCCATACGATCTCTTTCTAGCTCCTCTTGTAGGCGCATCTGACGTAATTTTTCCAGTTCAACTCGTTCTCGCTCCAGCTGCAACAGTTGCTCTTGTTGTTGACTAAGTCTTTCATCTTCCTTACTTTTCTGGGCATCAGTTGAAGAGGAAAGTTTGGAACTTGGTGTTTGGGCAGTTTCAGTTGTTGTTGCTTTTGACTGTGTTTGAGGCAGAACTACAGACTGAGGCTGACTGATGGGTTGAGCTTGAGTTTGTGTCAAAGATAAAGGTTCAGTCTGAGCAGGCAATTGTGCCTGCATTTGAGGCTGTACTGGTTGGACAATTGGAGGTTGAGACTGAGTTTGAGAGAGTGATGCAAGACTCTGTGAGGTAAGTTGAGGACGATCTATTTGATGAACTGTTGTAGTTTGCATACCAGGCACAGATACATGTTGGGTTCCTGATTGTACTGCTGGTTGTGTTGTTGGAATGGTTGCAGCTGTTTGGGCAGCTATTGTTGTTAAAGGTTTTCCGAGAAACACTGGAGTTTCCTGGTGCGAGCTGCTTAATACAGAAGCACTTTCTGATGGTGGGGCTGACGTAGGATACTGGTTTGGGGGAGGATAAGAATATAGTCCTTGTGTGGACAGAGGCATCCTGGGAGTCACTTGAGGCAACCTGGCCAGACTAGCCAAGGGTACAGCAGTTACACCTGTAGGGTATGGTCTGTAAATTCCCCTAGGTACTGGACGTATGACTGGGGCAGGCTGTGTAGTAATTGGCAAAGTTGAAGCTATGGGAGTGTTTATGGTAGAATATATCATACCATCACCTCCTCTCATAGCAGCAGGATACAAGGCGCGTATACTTGCCTGTCTAGCATTTATTAGGTTTGTTAGAGTTTGACCATTCACTGTTTGTCGTCCATCTGCTCCATAAAGCAAATTAGCTCTTACTGATGCTAAACCTTGATGGAGATTCAGTCTTGCTAAAGGTCCACCCCTTCCAGCTGCATATGCTGCCAGTTCAGGGTTATTTCCAAAACGACTCCCAATCTGATCGACAGTGTTAAGAGCTGCACACATGCGACTAATCTCCCTGGCAGTAGTTGCACTGTATTGAGCCAAATTAGAGTCCTGTGAGCCACAGGTATAATCAGAATTAATATTTGACATAGAGCCATATCGACGAAGGGGTAATGAAGGACCTGAAAAATCATCCTGGTGACGCAGGTCTGTGTAAGAACCATACTGTGCCCCCATGCCAAGGTATCCAGCATCATAAACTTGATTCAAACTGCTAAGATCCACTGCCAGCCCCCCTTGTAGATTGTTCTGATAGTGAGCAGCATCAGTCATTGAAGGCAGGTTAGTATCAGACATGGAGGGCTGTATTCTTCCAGAAGGTGGTACAGGTAGTGGATATTGTTTATGATCCATTGTTATTCCTTGGGTAACTTGAGGTTTTTGTTGTTGCTGTTGTTGGCTAACGCTGTAATGCGGTACGTGGGGAGGTTGGGCGACTTGAGATGTTTCAGTGATGGGATTGCTATCTGAAGATACTGTGGGAGACTTCTGAGAGAAAGACCCTGAACAGGTACCAGCAAAGGGCAATTTGTAAACAACATCACAACAAGCCACTTGATTATCTGGTTTGAGCTGTCCAGTCAGATCCAAAACCTGAGGTGGAGGAGGAGCAGGGGCCTTGTCTTCTTGCTTTACCAGCTGAGTAACTGTGCTGCCTTGTGATGTGTTTGTCTCATCGAGGTGCACCATCATAACATGGGGTTTACCTGTGGACAAGTTCATTACTGTTGGTTTATTTTTAAGCTCTAAGGCAATGCCACCATACATTTCATGGGATACATTAGAAGTAAGAGCCCCAGACACTGATGGTGGAGCCACAGGGGATATTCTAGGTATGGCACTAGCAGTCACTACAGGATGGGCATTACTTGTCTGGGTCACTATGACATCCTTTTTTATCAGCAGTGGCTGTACCTGATTAGCTAAATTGTAACGAGCAAAAGAAGACTGCTGTTGGTGCTGCTGAAGCTGCTGCTCAAGAAGTTGCTGCTGCTGAAGAAGCTTCTGTTGTTGCAACTGCAGTTGCTGCTGCTGTATTTCAAGATTTTCCAGGCAGGCATCAATTTTAGGAATAGATGGGTCAGTAATCAGCGGCTTACTCTGAGTTAAACACACAGCTGATCCAACACCCTGACCTAAATCCACACGGTTTTGTAAGGGGTCTCCATATACAACTGGTTGCTTGGGTTGTGACATGAATGCTGACCCTGCAACTGTAACACTAACGGTTGTTGGTGTTGACACAGAYATGTGTGGTTGCTCTTGGGCATTGAGGTTCATAATAAGGGGCTGCACTAATGTATGTCTTCCGGATGGCTGCTCTAGTCCTAAAGAGTACCTTCTTGTGTCAGAGGCAAGAGATGTTAGATCCATGCCCTGGTCTGTCATTATAATTGGAGCTGGCTTCAATGGAGCTCTTAGATCCACAACAGTGGTGTTTGGAAGTGTTTGGTTTTGCCCCACAACCTTTGAAGTGCCAGGAACATTAGAGATTTTACACAGAGATATATTTTCCATTGAACCCCGACTTTGTGCACTTGTGGTCATAGCACTAACACCAACATTAACTTTTTCAACATTGTGACCCATTTGAGAAGAATTCTTTAGGTCCTGATGAGAAGGATACATTTGGGGTGATGTTGGAGAACTTGTTGAAGGGGTTTGAAAGCTATACAGTGTTTTACAACTTGCCTGTGTTGGTGATGATAGGGGAGATGTAGAAGAATTTACAGTAAGTGGTTTGGCAGGACTGGACCTTTCAGAGCCCAGTGTTATCACCATGACTGGTGAATCTTGAGAGGACTGTTGTCGTACAAGACGTGGTGACATTGTTCTTGGAGATGCTTGAGAGCTGTGGGATGCGGAAACTGTTGTAGCACCAGCTGGCAAAGACGGCAGCTGCCTGCTGTTACCGCTAGTGTGTCGCACAGGTGGTGCATGTGTTGGGCTTTGCGTTGGAGATGTAGTGGGGGAGACTGGGGGGCTTGGTCCTTTAAAGAGTGAAAAAACTTTGGAGGTCAGGGAGGATGATCCAGGATCAGGTGTTGCTTGTGTTGGCCTCTGTGAGCCTGCTCGGTTGCTAACAGGGGCTGTGCTTCCTCCATGCCGAGCTGAGGCAGCCTGACTCATTTGAGCTTTGGTTGTCGAAATTCCAACGACACCTTCAATTTTGGCACTCTGTGTCATCATTCTGTTCTGTGTTTCTTTTGATAAATGTTGTGCTGCTTGCATACCTGCAATTCTCGAATCACCGCCTGTTGTGGAGAAGGACACTGGTGCAGTAACCTGTGTAGGACTTGAGCCTGGAGTTAGAGATGTTCCAGCTTCGAGATGATACCCACCATCTGACTGAGAGCCACCTTTCTGTTGATTARCTGTTTTTCCTTGTTTCTGCATGAGCTGTGCTTTCCTCATCATCTCCTCGTACACCTCTTCTGCACTTTTTAGAGTTTTATCAGATGTTGATGTCTTCTCTGTTGGGGAGTAAAGTGATGTAAAGGTTGGAAGATTGAATTCTTTTCCTGATTTGTAAAGCTTTCCTCCAATCATCTCAAAACCTTCTGCTTCTGAGTCCATGGAGGGTGAATATTCAGAGCAGGATGATCTGTGGAGCTCCTCCATCTCTGCAGCCTGCCTCAGCTCCTCTGTTGGTGATGCATCTTCAATAGGTGAGAGATTACTAGGAGGGGTTTTGGACCGTTCTCTGCGCCTCTGTGCGCGAAGTTCCTCTTTATCTCTTTTTGTTTTCCGAGCAGTACTTCGAATCCTCTGTTGCTCTAGATCTCTCATCTGCTCCTGTTCCCTAAGCAGTTCTTCCTCCTCTCTAAGCTCATCCTCTTCAGAGGAGTCCTCAATTGTGGGCAGCAGTGGCCCGTGAGAACGATGTCGAGCTTTCCTCTGCTGCTTTGCTTCTTCAAGTCGTGCCCTCCGACTAGGGCTGCTGTCACTGTCGTCTTCCATGGATGACACGGAGGTTGGGGATGTTCCAGATGTGTAACTGGGAGTAGTGGCAGGTAGAGTGGATGAATAATCTCCCTTGGATCTTTCTTCAGGAGAACCTGTCAGACTCTCCATTTCAAGCTCTGGTTCTCGGAGGTCATGTTCACTGCTGAGCTCAATGTCTCGATTGTAGCTGTTAGTGTTATTCAGCTCAATGGTCTTAAAACGCCGAAGACCCCCAGCCATTACAACATCTTCTTCTTCTTTAGTTTTATAAGCACCCTCTGAAGTTTTTGTATCATCTTCAAAACTATTAGACTGGTGAGAGAGACGTCTTCTCTCTTTCCCTAAATCCCCACTGGCTTTATGTGTCTTTTTAGATTTCTGGTTTCCAAATTCTTCTAATTCTTCTTCATCAGCACTCATCTCCATAATCTGCCTCCTCATGTACTCTTCATCTGTTAAATCTTTATGTGACTTCTTTTGTCTTACTGGCAACGGTGATAAACCACTTTCACTGCTGTCTTCTACATAATCGTGACGGAGCTTGCAACTGAGGTCATCTTCTGATTCATCCCTTGCTGCCTCATCTTCAGGACTGTACTCTTGCCCCACAGAAAGTGAATGAGGCCTGTGTTTCTGGTCAGAGGCTGTCTTTGATTCAAGCAAAGGTTTCATGGAGCTTTCTAACTTGGTGATTTCTGAGGGGATGGAAGCACCTCTTTCACTAAGCTTGATTCCCTCTTCATGGATTCGACCTGTGATTTCCCCTTGAGAACTCGAGATCCCATCTGAAGAGTATCCAGTGTCACTTAAACTCTGCATGCTTGATTTGTTGTGATCCTAAAGAAAGAGAGAAAAAGAAGAGGGATCAGGAACCAATAAAGGTCTTTAAAATTAACTTATAAAAGTTGTATTACAAGCTTCAGTACACATTTCAGGTCTCACTATTTCATTCAGTTATCAGCAATGACATTTTAGGTGCACTGGTAGATGATTGGGAGTAAAATCAACTTTTTTACACATAGTACCGATGAAATAGTCTCTAATGGTAAAGTATTAGAGAATAATTACTTTGGAAATAATCAACAATTTACAGTTTTTTAACACTTCGAGCTAAAGTCAACCCAAATGTTTTCTTTATAGTAACATTTGATTAGGAAGTTAAACATACTTTTACTAAAGTTTGCATTTAGAAAGACATATACTAACAAAACTGAAACAGTTTTTATTTATCACARCTATTGACCATTTTGTATATGTTTGGGTTGAATTTGCCTTTTAGTGTTATGCGCACACAGATGGAAATATATACCGACACAGAGTGAATATAACAGACAGTTGAACTTACAAACATTTACAGACAAATGCCATTTTGTTACATGCTTGTTTGACATCTTTGATGCATTCTCCTTTGCATTCTTCGAACCGTTGAAGAATAAAAACATGCTTAGAATGCTTAAAAAATCATCACGAAGTGGCACATTAAACAAAAAGCTTGCATTTCTTTTCTTTTTTTCTTTTACAAAAACAAGAATAAAAAAAACATATTTAAACAAAACAGAGAAATGCAGGAGTGGTCTGTAGACGATGAATGGCCAACTAAGATGATTATGCTGATGCACATAAAAATGAGGAATGATCATAGCCAACTGATAATGATGACATTTAGAGCAATGTTAAAGATTAAGATGGTGATGATGCTTAATATAATAGATATGACGACAATGGTAATAAAACACTTTGATAAACGCAACTGCAATGATTTTTTTTACTGAATGTTTGATGATGTTATAATAAACACAGAACTTTATCAGTAATTTTGCATTAGTTAATGAGTTTATAAAGTTAGTTCCAATGAGGATTATGATTTAAAAAAAAACTGAGGACGATGGCGTGAATTGGACAGATGACCATAAAAAGAAAAGACAAAAGGACTTGAATGGGCTCAATATTGAAAAAAAGGACAACATTGTGATTCTGGGATGGTTCCATTTTTTTTTGAATGGCTTAACATAAATCAAAATGGTGAATTGAGAATAACAGGTATAACAGGTGAAGGCGAAGAAGTTGCAGGTAGCTCACTTCATGGTGTCTTGACTTCTTTTCTTCTTCAGCTATCTTCATGTCTTTTGGAGTGTCAGTCTCTGATAATGCCTTCTTCTGTGAGGCTTTGGTGTCTTCTTTTAGAGTTTTAGATGCAGCTTTAGTCTTCTCCTGGCTTTGTGGCTGCTTGCGGGCCTGGCTGTTACCTGTGGGTTTAGACTGAGCAGGAACCGTTTTGGAAGGGGTGGGGGTCTTAGTGTGGTTAGGAGTAGGTTTAACAGGGCCAGATGAAGGCTTGGCACCAGAGGGATGTGAAGGGCCCTTAGTCTGAACAGAGGGCTGAGCAGATCCTTTTGTCTGAGTCTGCCCTTTGGCCTGATTCAGACCCTTCATTTGGTTAGCAGGCTGTGTGGGGCCCTTTCTTTGAGCATGTGACTGGTTAGGACCTTCAGTTTGAGTAGGTCCTTTACTTTGAGATGAGGGATGTGTTTGACTCTTAGCTTGAGGGTGTGGCTGAGACGAACCCTTGGTTTGAGGGGAAGTTTGACTAAGCCCTTTAGGCTGAGGGCCAGGCCCTGCCTGTTTCACATTAGAGGGAGGGCCACTTACTTGGGGACCCGTTGATTTCTGTTGTTGTTGAGGACCTGTGGTGTTAGGCCCTGAATGTTGATTGGGTGCTTTCTGCTGAGGTGTTTGCTGTTTGGCTGGAGCAGATGATCGGGGAGATCCCATGGAAGATCCCATAGAATCTGGAATATCTCCTAAGCTTCCCGACAGAGCCCTCTGTGTTTGGCAGTTTAGGCACAGCCATTCTTTCTTCTGAAAAACAAAAAGAATGAGAATCATCAAAGTTAAAATCAAAGACCATGTTTTATTGCACAAAATATACAAAGTGTAGTCATTTTAAATGTGTTTTCATTAATATTTGCACCATCAGCACAATTTTTGATTTCCATTTCTTCACAATGGGTGATTTCTAAAAAAAACTTGTTAGTTAAATTCAATTAAAACAAAGGCTGTTTTGCAGTAGCATTGGACTCAGTGGAACTCATCCTGAACAACTGAGTAAATGAAAACCTGTCCAAACAAGGATTTTCATCTCTACAAGAAGACTTAATCTTTTGACAGCATTAAGTACTCTCAAACAAGGTACACAGACAAGGAGTGTAATGTGCATATAAATGAACGTGTCTATTGAGAGGTGGAACAGTCAACAGTGAATATCAAATGTCGACCTCAGGGTCATAACTGACCCAAACGCTAAATCCATCTGGCCCACAAAGTGGTAAATTAATAATAAATTACACTCAAGTTCATACAGGAATAATTTGTGGAAAAGAGTGACTTCTATAGTACTTGTCATTTAGTGCTCCCATTATTATTATTGATTGTTTTATTAATCTTTATTTAACCGGGCAAATCCCATTTAGATCACAAATCTAATTTTAAGGGAGGCCAGGGTCTAAACACGTTTTTAGACATGAAAATTTTAACTGCAAGTGATCCGGTTTGTAAATGGTCCTGTCATAATGCCATACTAGAATTGTAGCTGTTTAGTTTGTTATATTGTGAGAACAGTTTCTTATTCTCTTCCCAGGTTAAGTTGTCAGGCTCAACAAAAACTTGCCAATCAAAAAAGAAAAACAATAATACCCACTAAAATTGCCAAGTAATGAGGTTCTAATTTAAATTAATCACAGAATGCAAACTACATCCAATCCAATAAAAAAATTTGGCACAATACAAATTTTGAAAAGACTTTAAAAGACTGATTAACAATATTTAAAATTACAGCAAAACATTGGCGGCATCTTTAAAAATGCCAAAGACAGCAGAGATATCAATAAATAAAACAAACCAGTCATGGTTATCTTCAGACCATTGTTAAAGTTTGGTGGTGGCATAGAAAATCCAGGGCTTTGAACAAATTTTGTGGATGATCGCTGATCTATACCTTTTATAGAGCCCACAGCAAAACTTACTGGTGCTTGAGGGGGAAAAGCCCTTTACAGTATCCTGTGTACAGATTCTGACAGTGCTAAAAAACCCAAAACAAAACTCATCAAAAACAGGATATTAACATAAAAAGATTCAATTTCAGGTCAATGCAATAGATTGATGAAACTGCTCATTGGAATGAAATGATTCTATTACAGGGTATGAGGGCTGAAAATAGCATTGGGGGCACCATGTTTGTAACGTAGCCCTCTGTTAATAACAATGATCAGTGCCTCGGGCCTGAAGACGTAGTATTCTTTTGTTACCAACTTTACAACAAAACAAACAACCTCATAAACGTTTCAATTGCTGATCACCATCTGCTGAATAAATCATGTTTTTTATTGCTGTCACATTTTAAAACATAAATATAGAAGATTTAACAACAGGCCCAGTCACAACCATTAAATAAAAACAATTCAGGTGTTCAGCGACTGTATCATAGGACATCTTTACCATGGAGAGAACAATCAAGATGCTAGAGAAAACCCCAATTAAAATAAATACCTTTAAAAACTTTTATTGTTGCAAAAACAATCTGAACTTTTAAAAGGAGTTTCTCTGCCAACATTTCAAGCACAGTAAAGAGACAGAAAGTGGCAATCATTTAGTCAGCAACGACCATTTTAACACCACATCAGGGGAACCTAATCTAGACACTGTCTCGAATAATAAGGTCTTGGTGTGAGACACAGTCTGCTTTCTTTATTACCTCATTCTAAACATGTGTACAGACATTGATCTGACGAAGACGTTTTGCTTTTCTCAGCAGTTTTTCTTTACTCCCAGCTCTTTCACCACAGTAATGAGTGGAYACAAAACATAACAAACAATATTTTTATATGTAAACAGCAAAAAAGCAAAAGCAAGTGGATGATAAGGATTTTGCTTATGTGTAAATGTCTGTGTGTGTTGGTTATCAAAATAGTTCATGAATGACTGGACAGAATTTAATAAAATCTGCAAAAATTACTTAATGGATTTACTGTACTCCTACAATTGATTTGAACTTTTGTAGGCAATCCAATTCCAGATGGCCAATTCCAGATCATCATTAGCCAACACAAAAATAATTTAAGCTATAATTTAGTCAGTTTAACAGATATTGAACTGAAATTTAAAGAGATAATAACTGTGAGTCAATAACACGTCTTGTGACAATGTATCAGTTTGTGCATAACTTTATTTTCAATGAATGACCAAAAACACACACAATTCTGTCATTTCTCAACATAAGCTGATCCTAGTTTAAAACTCTGGTATGAAAGGCAGTGGACAATTTGCATTACTTCAAGAATCAAGTTATGTTGTGGTGCCTATTTTCTTACTTATTGTTTTTATTTACTAATAACTTGTTTTTCACCCCTCTACATATCCTAGGCCTTAAATTAAAAGTATGATTTTCTCTCTAGCTTGTGCATTTTTAAAGCCGTCTACTGCCTGTTGCAGAGCAGACACAACAGTCAGACAACAGTGTAAATACTGGAGGTTCTCCAAAACGAGCCATGACTGCTATTCAATTTAAGACTAGAAAGCACGGTCAAATTGTGCTGTTCAAGACTTACATTTGATAGAGAATAATTACACAAACAGAACTGTAAATAGGCTTTTATTGATAGAGTACAATGGAACACACTGAAGTGGCACTGATATGACAAACATTGCACCTCATAAAAACTCAATTAGGGCTCTTATGCAATGCRGGTGATAAATTATGCAAGTCCTTCCCTTTAGTAATGATGCAATCTGAATCAGCATGCTGTGAAAATATGCATTTATTCTTTGATAGCAACGTAGACACAACACCATTTATTATGATTCTATGATATGATATTATTTTATAAGATAAAACAACGATGGCTGTCTTTGATGTTTTTATTGCCAGAAGGTGGAGCGATAATATTGTTGCCCATGTTTTTTTGTTTGTGTATTGATTTGCACCTTAGCAGAATATCACTGAACAAATTTTAATGAAACTGACAAAGTAATAAATGTGTGCACAACTTATTAACTTTTGGGGTAAACTTAATTCAAGAAAGTCCCCACAACAAATCAATCTTAGCAAGCACAATAATGACTATACCTCAGTGAATTTTACAAACACTTCCCTTAAGTTTGGTTTGGTAGTAGCTGACAGTCATTCACAACACAAAGTCAAAGTTCTACCAAAATATTGCAATACTGCAAGAGACTGTGATTTAAAAAAATAAATTTTGACTAAAAAGATAACTTAGTCATAACTTAGCATCTTTGTTTAAAAGTCGAGCATGAAAGTATACATTTCTCCAAAAAATATGCCAGGCTTTTAATCCATGTATAACGTCACCATTTTTGACTGACAAGCAAGCATTTTCAAAATWTATTAGAAACCTGTCAAAGCTGAAAGTGAAAAAATGCTGACATTTTAATCTATAACATGCTATTATTTTTACTGATGCTATTTTTTTCGTACAACATAAAATCTTTCTTTTTGTGCCTAGATCTATTGTCTCAAGAGAGACCATGAGGCGTGGATGGAGCTATTGGCTTGCCAAACAGACAGACTTGCTTTGTTTTCATATCTCTCAAGTGCTCTACTGAGAAGCTATATATAAACAGGTGCAGCATTCTCAGAACTAGCCATCTGTGCTGGTTCTTTTCATGACAAGCGACTGTGTGTTTGTGGACGGCTAGTACACTCATGGGACCCGTAGATATTTACCAAAGCCATGCAACAATATAGACAGCAAAGACAGGTTATGTATCTCTAATTTGTGCATTCGAGCATGTACAGAGGATGGCATAGAGCAGTGGATAGAGCTGTCRCCTCACAGCAAGAAGGCCACAGGTTTGCCTCCTGGCAGTTCTGGCTGGAATTTGAATGAGTGGGTTTTCTCCAGGTACAAGTTTCCTTACACAGATTAAGAACAAGAATATTAGATAAACTGGTTACTCATGTGAATAGTTGTGTCTATATTGCCCTGTGATGGACTTGTAACACCACAGACTGCTGGAGATAGGCACCAGCTGCCCCACAACGTGCAAAGGAAAACCAAGTAAAGAAAATAGATTTTTACCATGGAACACTATTTTTCAGGCCATGTTGCCAAACTCCCCTATTTGCTCCTGAATCAGCATAACATGACTGTGTGGGTGCGAGGGAAAGAGAAGCAAGGCCAAGCTGAAGCTGCAAGTAGCAAATTATTCATGTAGAGTGCTTTAGCTTGTACAGCAGCGAGCCATGTGGGCAGTGCTTCCCACCTCTACCCACACAGAGATAAGAAAATCACGTCTGTAGAAAAGACTAAGCCTCTGTTGCTTCTGGGAATCTTTCACTGTTCTCTGAAAACACGGTGAATCGTGGCAAACTCTAACAACTCAGCGGATATAACCATCACTATAAATAATAAAATATTTTTTTAATGAAATGTCCAATTTTGGATGAACAAATGTTTTTTTTTCAATTTTAACATATAATAAATGATTATCACCCAAGACTAAACATGAAAGGCAATTTTTACCCATATGTGTGAGCATATGTGTTCATTTTTTGCATTATATTAATATTTAATATATACATTAATAC